CCCCAGTACCTAGAACACTGTCTGATCCGTAGTTAGTGCTCAGAATATATTGAATAAATGAGTGAGTGAGTAGGATAAACGCTGGGGACCCTAGCACCTTCTATGTCCACACTTTCCTTGCTCTTGGTGTCTCCTAGCGGTGGAGGCTGGTATCACCAATCTCTTAAGACAAGGCTTTGAAGAAGAAATTCAGGCCTTGGTTTTGTTTGTCCACATACACAGCTCTCTAACTGGTTGGAGTGGGCAGTACAAAAGGGGAGGAAAACGATGGGATGCGTCCCTGGCCTGCATCCTCTTAGTTAACCTAGAAAGGGTTAGGGGTTGAGAGCAAGATAGGCATCCATCTTTTCCTTGGGGAGGAGCTGGGCAGCAAAAGAGAGGCAGCAGGTGGTGGAGGGGACACGGCCTTGGGTAGAAATCAGAGCAGAATCACAAATAGAGGAAAGGAAGGTGATGGACGAAAAGAGAAAGAAAAGGAAAAGGAAGCCAAATGCAGAAAAGAAAAAGGAGAGGAAGTTGAAGATAGAGGAAGAGAAAGAAGATGAAGAGACAGGACGGAAGGACAGAAGAAAACGCAGTAGCACGGTGACCTCAGCTCATACCAAAAATATTGAGTTGCCTCTTTTACTCCCTTGTGGGGGTAGGGAGATTTCTTTCACTTGATGAGGAGCATTGAGGGGTACTGGTGAGCTTCAACATTCACCTTTCTGGGTGATCTCAGATAAGTCTCTGGGCCTCAGTTTCTTCATCTGTAAAATAGACACAGCCATACCCACCTACAGCAGGGAAGTCATGGAGAGGATCCCATGAGACATGGTCCTATAAATTAGTATTTATTAGATCTAATCAAGTACCAGGCCCTGGGGAAACAAAAGCCTGACACTGCTTCTGTTCTCTAGGAGACTCAGTCTAAAAGGAGATCTAGAACAGGGACACCCATCACCCCAAAATCAAGACGAAGAATGGTAAGTGACATATGGATTAGCGTGGATTAAGTGCTATAGGAGGTCAAATTATTTCCATTTTGGAGGAAGTTTAGGAAGGCTTCCCAGAGGAGGTGGCTTTGAAGCAGGGCTCTGCAGAATGAGTAGAATTTAGGTTTGGATATGCAGAGAAGGGGGAATGGGCATTCCAGATATGAGCAAAATTAGGGAGAGTGGGGATCATCTGGCTGGATTTAAGCATGGGTGTAGGGGAATAAGTCTGGATACATAGACTGGGGAAGGACTTCTCTCTCTCTCTTTGTTAAGTAAGCTCTACACCCAATGTGGGGCTTGAACTCATGACCCTGAGATCAGGAGTCACATGTCACATGCTCTACTGACTAAGCCAGCCAGGCGCCCTAGGAAGGGCTTCTAAAGGTGCTGGGGACTCCCCAGCCTGAATGGGCTAGCCTGGAGATTTCTCAAAACCTTTGTCATGACTCCCCCTGAAAAACTTAATAAGTAACAAATACTTTTAATTATAGTAGCATCATTTCTGCCATCCCTCAGTTCAAAACCAACAAGGTCAATGGCTCTACCTCCAGTAAGAACAGCACTGTGATACAAACAAAATACACATTGTCCCGGCCTTCCCAGCACACACATGAAGGGTCCTTGGAGACTGCCTAGGCCAGAGCCCCATTACATAGATAGGGAAATCATGGCTCAGAGAAAATAAACAATCTCCCCAAGGGCATTGGTGTTTGGGTTCCCAGTCATCTGATTCTTAGTTTGCCATCATCCTCTATTATCTCTAGGATCTTAGCAGCCCAGGTTCCCTACCCCAACACCACCCACCCAGTTTATGGGTCCCTGTTACTTTGTTCTCCAATCGTTGCCACCTCTTCCACTCCAGTGTTTTCCAAAAGCCATACTGGGATCAGTTGCACATGGTTGGGTCCAGTGGTGATGCCAGCCAAACTCTTGCATAACAGAAGGACAGTGTGTGCATGCTCATGTTTACTTGTCCCAGCCTGCCCATCCTGTCATTAAATATTTATTAGCCTACACTGGGAAAACACCTTTGGTCGAAAAGACTAGGGCACCCAGTCCCTAAAGGGATAGGCTCGTAAAGGCTAATCACAAATGTGAACCAAAAGCCAAGACCAAGCACTTTGAGGCCCTGACTAAAGCAGGGAGATCGGGTTGCTAAGATGTGTCTGAGGAGAATGGAGAAAAGTGAATGGATGTGGGGCAGAGGGTACAGAAAGAGTCTGGATGAAGGGTCCAGATCATGGGGCCAATTATATGTTCAGGACTGTTCCCTCTCCCGCATGAGGGCCTTCCCCACCCCTCCAACCCTGTGCTGTGCTGGAGCTGGGTTTGCTTGGTCTTCCAAGGACAATGCAATGGAGCAAAGAACTGGGATGTTCTGCAGGATGCTTGGCAAAAGCCTTACAAGCTCAGTCAGGAGCTCCTAGGAGGAGGGCAGAGGCAGTCCCACAAAGAGTGTCTCCTCCTTCCTGTCAATCACCAAGGACCATCTGACCTGTGAGCTCTAGAAGTCCTGGTCCCTGACTCTTCAAAAATCTGAGATGCAGAGGACTCCTGAGAAAGCTGTGTTTTACATTCCAGTAAAAGACTTTGGATTCTTGTCTGGAGAAGCTTAGCAAACATCGGGGTAGGTGCTATGGAAGGTACTTTCAGTTCCCAGATCCATAGGCAGCTCAGTGTTCTGAACTTCAGACCTGTATGTCCACCTGCCTACTGGACATCATCTAGATGTTCTAGAGCCATCTTAGACTCAACAGGCCCCGAACTGAATTCATTATCTTCCCTTCCACCCCAACTTCTGTGTCCTCTTTTCAGCAAATGACAAAATTATCCATCCATTCACCCAAGCCAGAAACCCAGGAGTTACCCAGGACTCCCTCTTTTCTCCCAAATCCCATATCCAACTTCCATGTTGCCTAATCCAGCAGCAACTTCTGTGCTCTCTTCTTACCCTGCAGCTCAGCAGCATCCAAATCAGATGTCCACTCATTTTGGAACACTTTCCTCCTCAGCCTCTATAACACCACACTCTCGATTTTCCTGTTATCTCACCTGTCTCTTCTCTTTTGCTCAACTGCTAAATGTTGGAGTACCCCAAATCTTAGTCTTGTCTATCTAGATTCCTGTAGTAGTCATTCTTCTCCAAGTCTATGACTTTAAGTACTGTCTAATGACTGAGACTACCAAATATGAATCTGTAGCCCTGATCTCTCTTCTAAACCTTAGTCTCATAAATCCACCGAATTGATATGTAGCTTCAATTAGCTTTGTTCTAAACCAAACTCCTGATGCCATGTGTGTTCAATCCTGCACCTCGCTTTCCTCATCCCCGTATAAGTCACCACCATCCACCATGTTGCTCAACATTCAAAATCTGTAAGACATACTTCACTCTATCCTTTCTCCCATACCTCTAATTCAAAATCAACAAAGCCTATAGATCTAACTCCAAAAATATCTCCCCAATACATCCACTTCTCTCCATCTTCACTCACCATCAATCTGGCCCAGAGTCAACATCATCTTTTCCTTGGGCAACTGCAGTAACTCATTTCCCTGCTTCTACCCTTGCCCTCATTCTTAATATGGCAGCCAGAGGGCTCATAAATACAAAATATGATCATAAAACTTCCCTGCCAAAGCCCTCCAAAGGGTTTCCATAATACTTAAAATCCAAAATAAAATAAAATATAAAATAAAATCCATGGTTGATCAATCTGATCTTGCCTCTTGTCACTTCCCTAATACCACATCCAACCACTCTCCCCCTTGCTCACCATATTCCTGCCACACTGGAATTCTTTTTGTCTTTAGAACATGCCAAGACTTTCCTGCTTTAAGCACTGGTGATCCCTCTACCTAGAGCTCTATTCCCCTTGATTTTTGCTCAGATTAAATGTCACTTTCTCAAAGACAAGTAACAGAAAACCCAACTAAAGGGGTTTAACCAATAAAGGGATTTATTTTCTTATATAACCAGAGTCTTAAATTAGGACCTTTCTGGGAAATAAGTGTCCCAACAATGTTACCAAGGATCCAGGTCCTTCCTATCTTCCTATCTGCCAGTTTGTGGGCTAGCCCTCCACACAAAGATTTCTTCACATACTAACATCTAAAGGTAGAAACATCCTGTGATCTTTTAACAAAAGAACTGAGAATCTTTCCCAGAAGTCTCCAACAGACTTCCTAACTTCTCATTGTCAAGAACTAGGCCATATACTCACCCATAAACTGATCAGGCCAGGGCAATGGGGCCGCATGATCAATCAAGTAGAGGAGGGTGAACACCAGAATAAAATCACGGTTATGCAAGAATGCAGGAGGGGAAAAGGCAGTTGAGCTGCTAACCAACAATGCTTACCCCATCTTCCCTGGATCATGCAATCTAACGTTGCCCCCACTTTTCAAAGTGTTTAAATAATTTTTTTTTTCCATTGTACTTATCATCATTTGAGGCAATATAGGGTAGGGGTTAAAAAAACAGACTCTGAAACCAAATTGCCTAGAACTGAAACCTGGCTACCACCTTATCAGCCGTTGAGTTAAATTACTCAATCTCTCTGTTTCCTTACCTGTAAAATGGGGATGACGATATTACCTACCTCATAGGGTTGGTGTGAGGATTAAATATGTAAAATGCTTAGAACGGTTACCCTAGTTCCTATATCCTGGAGACATTCTTGTATCATTATAATAAAGTTCCCTTTCTTGCTTAAACCCTCCCTTTCTGGGGTTTTCCACGGAGCGCCCCATCCCCTCCCCTGCTCCGTCATTTCTCTTTGGCGCCATCTGGCGCCCACAAGAGAAGCGACGCGCCTGCACCCTCCTCGCCCTCTGTCCATTGTCTCTTCGCGGTCGAATCTGGTCTCTATACCTTTAAGATGCTATCGGCCAAGACTGAAGAATCCGACGCCGCGGGGTAAAGGGCGGGCTGCAGTAAAGTCCACAGAAGTAATTGGTCTTTCCTGCGGCTCCGCCCCGGGAAGTAGTCGTGATCGCCTGTGATTGGTCAGGGGCCTTGGAGGCGGGTTCCGAGCTTGGCGCGGTGTTGTTCAGGGCATCCCGACTGCTGCGTGGTGGGCGGCATGTCTCGGGCGAATGGGGACGCGCGTGGGGACACGGGGGGAGACGGCACTGCTGCTGCCGGCCCCTTCAGCTTCAGCCCGGAGCCCACGCTCGAGGACATGTAAGCCGTCCCTGCCCGGCCTGGGGAGGTCGCCCCCTTTCTCCCTCCTGCTGGGGTGGGTCCTCCACGTGGTCTGGAAGAAGGCTAGCAGCTATGCTGGGGTCCCCGCTCGGCTGGCTGATCTCGGGCAAGTCATCTAACCTCCTTATCTGCAAAATGGGCTTAGTGATGCCCACCAAAGGCAGGGGAAATGGTGACTCCCGGTGAGTAATACCAGAACCAGCCTCGGGGAAATTGGGCTGCTACTTCTGATGCTGCTTCTGCCCGGCCCCTGCCCTCCAGGAGTGGGTGGTAGGACGGGGCAAATGCAGTGCTGAGAGGTGGGTGATATTATTTTTGCTGGAGGAAATCAAGGAGGGCTTCTTAGGGGGAAGTGTCCCTGGAGCTGCACTTTTGTAAAATCGGTAGGATTTCGATATGCAGAGAGAGGACTCTTCCTCAGGTGGAGGAAACTGCAGAAGCAGCAGCAGGAGGTGGAATAATGGAAAAGAGGGTATTGTTAGTGTTCCATAGAGTTGAGGGTCTGTGTAGGGCGCACCCACTTTATAGACGAGGATTCCAAGTCCCAAAGAGAAGAAATGATTTGCTTAAGGCCATCCAAGGAATTCGTTGCCGAACCCCTGATATTTATGCCCCCATTGCATATCACTGAGATGCCTGCCTGGGCTGTGTCTTCTCTTGTGTTCTCTAACCCTGGAACCAGGACTTCCACACTTTTCTTCTATTTCAGCCGCCGCCTCCATGCGGAGTTTGCTGCTGAACGAGACTGGGGCCAGTTCCACCAGCCTCGGAACCTCCTGCTGGCCTTGGTGGGGGAAGTCGGGGAGTTGGCGGAGCTCTTGTGAGTAGATGAAGCCTTCTTGGAACAGTCTGTGTGTTATGGGGGAGGGGAACATTTATCTGATCATTAACTATCCATGCTGGATTCTGTACCTGGGGATAGAGAGGACTCACCTGTCCCTGCCCTCTTGGGGCATCCCAGTCTTCTGGGAAAGAAAGGTGTGAAAACAGCAAGGCAGGCCCAGGTCATAAGGGATGGTGGCAGCCTCTGGGGTGGAAAGGAGGGTGTTCTTTAGAAGACCTACCTCCCAGTGGCATTCCAGCCTTGAGAATCATTTGCAAAGGCAGTGAAGTGGGAAAGGGCAAGTTAAATTTAGGGAGATTCTGAGACTTCTTCAGGGTAAGCTTTTCAAGGGAGAGCAAGGATTTTGTATCTGTTTTGTTGTCTGCCGTGTCCCATGTGCCTGGTGCACGAAAGGCAGTAGATACCTACAGAACGAGTGATGGGGCTGTGGAATAGAGGGGTGGCAATATGAACCCAGAGTGACAGAGCTGGAGTTAGGAAGTGATGGAGTTTGGACAGAAGACCTGACCAGATTTGAGTGGTAGAAAGATCCCTTTCTGCAGGGTGGATTGGGTCAGCAAGAGAATTGGGGCAGGGGAGAACTATGAGGAGGCTGATACAGATCAGGCAAGAGGTGGTAAGGTAGGCCTAAACCAAGGCAGTCACTTTGGGGATGGAGAAATGAGAGCACAGAGATAAGTGTGAGGGCAAGCCATTCATTCATTACAGATATATGAGCATCAGCTATGTGCTAGGGCTTCTAGAATGAAGCCTTGAACAAGATAGGTTCCTGGGGCTCCTGGCTGGCCCAGTCAGTGGGAGCAACTCTTGATCCCAGGGTTGTGAGTTCGAGCCCCTCATTGGGTGTAGAGATGACTTAAAAATAGTATCTTTGGAAAAAAAAAAAAAAAGACATGGTTCTTGCCTTCACAGTACAAGGAGAGTAACAATAAATAAACTAATTTTATTTTTTAAAAAGATTTTATTTATTTGACAGAGAGACACAGCGAGAGAGGGAACACAAGCAGGGGGAGCGGGAGAGGGAGAAGCAGGCTTCCCGCAGGGAAGGGAAGGACCCTGGGATCATGACCCGAGCCGAAGGCAGATGCTTAACGACTGAGCCACCCAGGTGCCCAAAATCCAGGAGTTTGGATCTTATTCCAAGTACAGTTGGGGAAATTTTAGCAGCGGAGGGACAAAATGTAATTTGTAGGTTTAAAAGATGGTACTGGGCAAGAGTAGAAGGTGAGTTAGCAAAAGCTTTCCCAGTGGTCCAGGTCTGGGGATTAGTCTGGAGTCGCAGTGGCTGGGGCTGGAGAGAAGTAGAATTGGGTCTTAACGAGTGAAATGTTCTCTTGGCCAGTCCTTGGCTCAGGTTGGGACACAGAGGTCTGGATGAATCATCTGCTGGGGTCTCTTCCCCACCCTGACTCTGCCTGGGGCCCAGGTGGGTTGAGTTGTCCTTGAAGGAACTTCCTAAGACATGGGAGTGCGTTGTTGCAAGGACTGGGGTTCTCCTAAGAGAGGCGGAGCCCATTGTCTTAGCTAGCATCTGTGTGTTCTGCCCCCAGTCAGTGGAAGCCTGATGAGGAGCCTGGCCCCCAAGCCTGGCCCCCCAGGGAACGGGCAGCCCTTCAAGAAGAGCTTAGTGACGTCCTCATCTACCTGGTAGCGTTAGCAGCCCGCTGCCATGTGGATCTGCCCCAAGCGGTGCTCTCCAAGATGGACCTCAACCGCCGGCGCTACCCAGCACATCTGTCCCGCGGCTCTGCCCTCAAGTATACAGACTTGCCCCATGGGGCCACCTCTGAAGACCAAGCTGTGGGGCCTGCAGACCTTGACTGTGAGTCCACAGGCCAGGCCTCAACCTAGAAACACGGGCACAGGACTTGCAACTCAGCATGGCATCTGAGAAGCAGAGAGTGGCCTGGCCGTGGAACTTTGTTCTAGTCTTTTCCTAACAGATCAGGGGCCTGGGGGCCCTACTTCGTAAGGTCTGAGGCCCAAGAACCTCCAGAAGACAGCCTCCTGGTATTTTTCTCTCAATAAAAGTTTTGGTTAGCAACTTCTAGATTCTTCCTGGAGGGACTGGGGAGGCTCTATCTCAGCAGGTACTGGAGAAGGGCACCAGGGATGCCTCTGAGCCCAGCTGCCATGTTTCTCTAGTATACCTCCCACCTACAGGGCAGAGAGAGTGGATTTCTGGCAAGATCCCTGTTTGATGTCATGCAATTCCCTTAGCCCTTCTGGGCCTCTAAAGGGGACTGGAGGCTATATGTAGCATTGGTTAAGGGCCCAGATTCTGGAGCCAGGCTATCTGGATTCAAATGCCATCTTTGATAATTATGAGCTGGATGACGTTCATCAAATTACTTAAATCTTTCTGCGCCTTGGTTTCCTCATCTAAAATTAAAATAATGGTATCTACCTTATAGGGTTGTAAGGTTTAAGTTGTTTTTAAGTAGAGTGCTTAGGACAGTGCCTGGCATATAGGAGGGACTTTCTAAGTTTGCAGTTATCTGTTTGCTTATTCAACTCAAAACTGTCAGGGGCCCAGAGCAGGAAATGTCAACAGTTAAGAGGGTCCTGGGCCTAAAGCCCATCTTTGTCCATCAGGACCCCAACCCTGTGAGAGCCTAATGCTCCTCTCCCTGGGCCCTCATCACAAATTAGGGTCAAGTGTCAGACGTGGAGAACAGAGAGATTCCTCTCATCCTGGAGAGGGCCCCTTACCTCCTCCCCTGTCCTCCCAAGGCCAATTGCCACTTGCACCTATAGTGTTGGGTATGATTTACCCCTTGTGTGACCTCAGGCACATCACTTCCCTTTCGGGGATACCCACGGCCTACCTCCCTCACAGTGCGGAGTAATGCCGGGGAAAACCCTCCGAACTACTTTTGCTGCCCCCATGAGCCTAATTCCACATCAGTAAAATGAGGCATTCCTCTTTACTGGTCTCATTCCTTTTACTAATGACCTCACTCCCTCTTAACCAGTGACCTCTTACTTGCCAGGGAAAACACTGCCGATTAGAACTGCTTCAGCTTTGTATTCCCAAACCCACCTTTCCTCTCCCTACTAGTGACAGCAGGAACCTTATCCTTACTGGTCTCTTATCGTATGTCCTCTCCATGAGTTACCTCCCCTCTCTTCTACATAACCAACTTCTCTTCCTTTCTATCAGCTCTGCCACCAGCATATACAACGCATAATCAAGTTTCTTCCCTACTCACCAAACAAACCCAACAAACCTCCAGCCATTTCCCTCTTGCTTTTCACAGCCAAGCCTCTTAAAATGGGTTGTCTACATCCATCCACTAGGCTTCCTCATTCTCCTATTTATGCTCTCACCCACTCAAGGATGGCTTTCACCCCCACTCCTCCTCTCACCACTTTCCCTGAGCTACAGATACAGCATCTAACAGAGTCACCACTCCCTCCATGAAACACTTTCCTTTAGATTTCCCAGACAGGACGCTTCTGTTTTCTTTCCAGCTCTGGCTGTTCTTTCACAGACTTTCCTTGGGTACCCTCTTCTAGAAGGGGTATCATGCACTCCAGACCTGCAATCCCCAAGCTATTATTTCCAGTCACCTCTCTGACTCCTCTGCGTTTACCTCACACTCAACGTGTCCAGATTGGGGTGTAAGAATTGCCACCCCTTCAATTCCTGTCCTGCTCCTCATCCTGTGCCTTCCTGACACCGCACGCTGGCATCCAAGTTAAGAAATGAAGTCAGCCCATCTCTCCTAGAAGGAAGTTCATGCCTGCTCACTGAACAATGCAGCGGCTGCCTGACCAGAATATGCTGTATTTGTGGACCCTTCCAGACCTGAAGTTATGAGGACTGCCCCCACACATAAAAAGCCAGTTCAGGGAACCCCTTTGGGCCTATTGCCCCACTTGGCTCCCTAATTCAAGTCTCTTAAGCCTGGGTAAGACGCCAACTTTCCTCCTTCCCCCCGCCGCCTCACTCACAGGCACAGGAGGGGCGAGGATATAATACTTTATTCACTAACACGGGTCAAGGGGTTGTAGTGAGCGGGGAGTGGGCACTGTTTCCAGGGTTCCCAGTGAGGGGATTCTCCCTGCCTCCCAGTTCCAAGGCAGCCAGGCCTGCCATCCCACCCTTTCCCAGCCCCTGGTGGTGAGCCAGGGAGGTCCTGGTTAATGCGGCCCCAGGTCGGGGGTCCCGGCGTGTCCGCCCCCACTCCCCCCACAAGCCGGACGCTCGCAACCCCGCGGCGACAAGAACGGCGGCTCAGCTGCCCTCGCACTCTGGGCAGCGCTCGGTGGCAGTGGCGGCCGTGGCGCCAGGGGGTAGCTTGAAGTCCCGGCCGCAGCCGGCGCAGATGTAGAGACGGCGCCGCATGTGCGCGCGACGGTGGCGGATGAAGTGCGAACTGAGACGGAAGCGCCGGCCGCACTCCGCGCACGGGTAGGGCCGCTCGCCCGTGTGCGTGCGCGCATGCTCCGCCAGGTTGGAGCGGTGGCCGAAGCGGCGGCCGCACACGGCGCAGCGGTGCGGCTTCTCGCCCGTGTGTACGCGCCGGTGCTTGGCCAGCGCCGAACTCTGCGCGAAGCGCGTGCCGCAGTCGGCGCATGCGTACGGCCTTTCGCCCGTGTGCGTGCGTCGGTGGCGCGCCAGGCACGAGCTGCCGCCGAAGGCGCGTCCGCAGTCCGGGCACGCGTACGGCTTCTCGCCCGTGTGCACGCGCAGGTGCTGCGCGTAGTTGGAGCTCTGCGCGAAGCGGCGGCCGCAGTGCGCGCATGCGTACGGCTTCTCGCCGGTGTGGCGCCGCCGGTGCTGCCGCAGGTTCGAGGCGGCCGAGAAGCGCTTGTCGCACTCGGGGCACTCGTAGGGCCGCTCGCCTGTGTGCGTGCGGCCGTGTTTGGTCAGCGCCGACTTCTGCGAGAAGCGCCGGCCGCACTCGGTGCACGCGAAGGGCCGCTCGCCCGTGTGCGTGCGTGCGTGCTTGGCCAGCGTGGAGCGGCGCGCGAAGGCGCGGCCGCAGTCCGGGCACGCGTGTGGGCGCGCCGGGTCGGCCGACGGCGCTGGCGCCTCGCTCGGGACCTGCGGGGAGAGGGGGAGGGGGGACACGTCAGCCCTGGCAGCCGGGCGCGGGAGCCGGAGGCCGGGGTGTCCGCAAGCTGCAGCCTCTCAGTTTCCCGTTGTAAAATAGAAAAAGCGGCGGTGCCCGCCTCGGGGCGGTTGTGCGCTTTAAATGAGATAGTATGTTAACGCATGTATCACAAGGCCTAGTGTCATTCTAGCAATTCGTTAATTCGACATATTTATTGAACGCGTACAATGTGCCGGACTCTGCTTAGGCACTGGGGATTCAACCTTAAATTTAAAAAAAAAAAAAAAAAAAAACGCGTACAATGTGCCGGACTCTGCTTAGGCACTGGGGATTCAACCTTAAATTTAAAAAAAAAAAAAAAAAACTGCTTCAGGAAAAATGGATAAAGAGTGCTGGTATTGGGGCAGGGAGTGGGTGCTGCACATTTAAATAGGATTGCTGAGAAATCTTACTGATATAACGGGAGCAAAGACTTAAAGGAGGTGAGAGAGCAGGCTACAGAGGGACCAGCAAGGCCCTGCGGGGAGTTTGCCTGTTGAGTTCCAGGAATGGCATGAAAAAGTGCCTAAAGCAGAATGCTTGAGGGATAGAGTGATGGATGGGGTGGTCTTGGAGGGGATCTCTTAGCTTAGGGCCAAGTAATATGAATGAGATGGGGAAGCAATAGAGATGTCAGATGGTTTGGAGCAGGGACCTGAACAGATCGGACTCGTTTTAAGTCACCCTCGGGTTGCTGGAGTTGAGAACAGAAAGGAGGGGAGAAGGCAGAAGCAGGAGCCCAGTGAGGAGGCTACTTGTACTGCCGCCATCTCTGAAGAGAAGTGGCTCAGACCCAGGTGACAGGTGGAAAGTGAAGGTGGTCTGCTTCTGGATATATTTTGCAGTTTGAGACAACAGATTGGATAATAGATTGGATAGGCGGTGTAATGAAAGAGAGGAGTCAAAAGGACTCCAAGGATTTTGAGTTCGGCCACTGCAAAGGTAGAGTGGCCGTCTGCAGAGATGAGGGCAGTGGGAGAAGCAAGGTGGTAAGTGAAATTTGTTTTGGAGCATATCTGCAGTTTTCCTGGACACATCTGGAGCAGAAAGAGGCCTATGCTTGGAGATGTTAATTGGGAAGCTGTCAGCCTATCAATGGTTTTTAAAGCTGAGTCCGGATGAGATCACCCCAGTAATGGGCAGAGAGAACCTGAGGCAACAAGATGGGCAGCCAGCAAAGACTGAGCAGGAGCAGTTAATGAGGCAGGAGAGCCAGGAGGGCATGGTGTCTTAGAAGCCAGGCCGGGACCGAGTCCAGAGTCTTTAATAAACTTTTCAGAGCAAGCACCTATCATTTTTTAAGTTGTGAAGCAAGGCCTGAAATGGAAAATTTTGAAAATGAGCTGGTTTCATGAGGTCTGAGCCTCTAGAGATAAAATCCAAAAAAGAAAAGAAATGTTTTGTAAGAGGCAGGGGAAGAGAAAACATTTTGTACTAACAGCAGAGTGAAGAGGAATACTGGGGGCACGTTGCTCTCTTCTTAGAAAAGAGAATGCTCATCCTAGCAAAAGTGATATATTGAACACCTACCGTGAACCAGACAGGCACATTAATTCAAGACCAAATGAAATACCTGGCACATATTAAGGACAAGACAGTGTTAGCTTCTCCCCACATTCAATCTCCACAAAGTAGTTATTACTATTCTCATTTTATAGATAAGGAAACTGTTAAGAGAGGGGAGTGACAAGGAATAGTAAGGCTCTTTTCTTTCTGAAGTTGCAAGGAGGGCAACTTCAAGTCCTTCAAGATCCTTTATAAAAAGGCAGCTTTTCGGTAACCAACTCAGAAACTGGAAAACAAGGCAGTTTGGGAAATTAGTGACCAGCCATGGGAACTCTGCTTTAAACAGTATTTATAGTGATAACGGTGATAACATTACACTGTAAGGCTTTGACAGTGCTATTTTATGTACATTACCGTATTAAAGCTTCGTGTCACC